TTTTTTATAATTTTTATATATTAGAAATATTTTTTTATAATCTTGATTTATAGTGAGATTTTACATATTTTATTTTATCTTTTGATCAAAATTTTTGATTTTAAATCATTAATATTTAAAGCTTCAAAAATTATTCATAAATATAATTTATTGACCGCTGTTACAATGCATAAAAATGATGAGCGATATCTATTAAATATTTGGCATATATGACCACGAAAAACAGATTTAATTTTCTAATTCATCGGCATAAATGTATCAATTTTATTATGAGTTCAATGAAGTCTATTTATCATATATAAAATAAATATTAAATTATATTAAATAATAAATATTGAAATTCTAATATGAAAAATTCAAAATTTCTATTCTATGGAATGTGAATTTGAAAATTATGAATATAAAAATAAAATTATATAGAATAACAAGTATTGGACAATAGTTACGTAAGTTGTAATTATAAAAAATAAAATTGAAACAAAGAAAAAACTTATTAAAAAACAAAAATTAATTGTAATATTTTCTATTTAGTTTATAATTATATAAGAAATAAAATTTTTTTTATTCTTTTGCTACAATATTTTTCTTAAGAAAATGGAAAAAAATCAACAATTGTGTAATGTTAAAATTCTATTAAAATTAATAGAATTTATTTAAGAAATCTCGCATTTCATATTTGTAATAATGAATATGAAAAAACAATATAATATAATTTTATAATATATAATTATAAATATAATATAATTTTAAAAATATTTTGAAAAGTTTGAATATCTTCAATTTTTATTTTTATATATAAGAATATATAAAAACATTACAATTTTAATTTAAAAATTTAGTATTTAAAAGAAATTCATTTATAAATTTCTAGCAATAAAAAAAATGATCAAATTTTTTTTATGCTAACAATTAAAAAACCTTAAACTTTTAATTGTTTAATTAAACGAAATTGTAAATTGGTAATAAAATAAGCGATAATTTTATTTATAAGCATGTCATTTTTAAAATAGTTGAATTTAGAAAAGATAATCAATTAAAATTTTATTTTCTTTGCATATCAATTTTGCATTTTTTGTCATTTTTTCTTGCATATTAGAACGTAATAAATAAATAAGCTTATAAATGCAAATTAAAATGCTTATAAAAACATTTTTATTCATGTAATTTTATTTAATTTTGATATTTAAAAGTCAAATAAGCAAAGAAATGAATAATAAATATTATATGATTCTATCTAATCATATACAATATCTAAGGTATCTTTTATCTAAGATACAATTTAATATTTCAAAGGAACAAAAAAAATAAAGAAAATGTTCGAGAAAAATTATTATAGAAAATATAATAATAATAATAAAATACATATATGTATTTTATACATATACATAGAATGTCTGTTTTATTTACAATAAAATATCTTGTAAGAAAAAAATGTTATAAAAGAAATATTCTTATAAAAATTGTTCAGTATAAAGAAATACATTACGTAAATACATATGTTAATATCTTTTCTACAAAAACAATAAAAAAAATCATGTTTGTCTTCTTTGTTTTTCATGAAATAAATATTACAAAATTTAAATTGAAATATTTCATGAATTAATAATTTTTAGAAACATAACTTATTACTTTTTCTAGAAAATGTCAAACTTGTCTACATCGATTAAAAAATATAATTTTATTTAACAATTCTATTTAACAAATAAAATTGATTTTCATACTATTTTATCACGATAATAACATCAGAATATGCATTCTTTGAGGTTTCTTTGATTCAATTTTTATTTGAAATATTTTTTATTATGACAAATAATATTGAGAAAATCAAGATCCTTATATAAATAATTATGCCAGAGAATAAAACTCACCTATTCTATATTTTTTAAATTTGAAAATTACTAATTATTTTATATTTATATTTAAATATTAAATATTATGATTATATTCTACATATCTTATAAATATCTAAGTCCTTTAATAAATAAAATTTCAATATCTTCTTATTTTTTTTATAATATACTCTTTACATTTCAAAAAAATAAATGTAGATTATTATAGATTGAAAATGAGAGACAAGATATATTACTCATTATCAATCATTCGAAAAACTGAAATCTCTATTAAATTATTCTCTATAGTTAAATCTCATAATTTTTAATAATCCTTAATATTCGATTTTTCAGTTATCTTTGTTTGATATATTCAAATGTTTTTAGCATGTATATCAATAAGAACTGAAATGTTTTTCGTATTTTTATTTCATATATTTTATTATTATTAGAATTTGAAATATTATTGCTTTTTTCGATAAATCTTCAAAACTGAAAAAAAAGTACTTTCAATTTGAAATATATAACATTATTGATTTTAAATTTTTTTTATAATATTAAATAAAAGAATCTTTTTTATTATATTTTAATTATTACAAAATTATTTTTATCTTTTATTTTATTATATTTATTTTTATCTATTATTTTTTAATATATATATTTTAATATAAAATAATATAATTATTTATATATATGTGTGTTAATATATTAAATTTTTCATAGAATTTACTTCTAATATTCATTATTTTAAAATTATTTTCGAAAAAGCATTTTTTATACCATGAATATTGGGAATTTTAAAGAAATATATTTTTTTTATTCACAATTTGATTATCTTGTGCAAACCAAATGTTGAAATGTGTTTTGAAAAATGATAATTTATATTCGCTTGTTGATTTCAATAAATATATATTTAGTAAATGGCCTTCTTTTTTACAAATTTATTTTTTGCTTGGAATATATATCGAATAATATTATTTCTAAAATTATCTTTCTGACAATTTATTTATGCTTTTTTGATCCATATAAATTTGTCTTCTGAAAAGACATCAGAACATAAATTATTATTACTAGTTACTATTATTACTATCACTTAAATTATCACTAGGATTATTCATTTTTGTTCTAAAAAATAATAAAGAATATTTGATACTTTTTTATAACATTCAGTTTTAACAGTTTTTTTTTTAATTAAACTATGGGAATTGTTGAACATACGTTGGAAAATATTATCTGTTTAATTTTAAAAGGATTCTGGAATGAATGGTGATTATTTTTATTCCATTTTAATCTATTGATAATAAAAAAGAAATTTTTTGAATATTTTCTTCAAATTGGAAGCAAATAGAATAAAAGAATATATTAAAAATAAAATAAGATAAAAATCAAATGCAAATGAATCTTAGATCGAATATTGTAAAACCTAAAGAATATTAAATCTAAATTTTTTTTTATTTATGAAATTAATTAATAAAATTAAATAAAATTAATCATTTTGAATTTGTAATTATATTTTATGTTAAGTTTTCATTAGTGTACAAAAATTATTCATTATCATATTATTTTAATATAATAAAATATATATATATTAAATAATAAATCAAAGTTTATCGATAAATCGATAAATAATAAATAATAATTTTAGTAATCATTTATTTTTTTCATAAATATTTTATATGATTATTAATCCTTTAAAAATAAAGTCATTTATGTCCAAGTCTGATTATTTTATTTAAAAATTTTTTTACTGTTTATTTATTTTTTATTATATTTAATTGTTTTTTTTTTAATTTAAAAAAAATTTTAAGATATAAGTCAATATTATTATTTTATACGATCATTTGTAAAATCAAGTTATTGTTAGATTTTATAATCTTTCAGTTGATTGAAAATTATTTGATATTATTATAACAATGAAAAAAAATGCTAGCTATGTACAATTATCACAATCTTTGATGGATATTTTATCTTCAAATTTTTTGTATTAATACTTTAAAGACAATGATTTCATATATACATATTTATACTAATTAAGAATAATTTCTTAACATTTCATTAAGAAAATTTCAAAATTTCAAAATTATTAAATTTTTATTTCCTGAATTTTTAAATAAAATTCTTAACAAGAATTTTTTTGTTTTTCCTTCCAGATTAATTCCGCATCAAAAATAAAGAAAGTTTTTTTTTCTTAATTTATAAGCTAACAGATAACAAGAAGATATATCAAAATGAAGAATCTATCTTATACTGAAGTGGTTACTACACCTAATTATTTATATGTTTTTAACTTCGAGAAAAATTTCGTTTATATAGAAACTAAAAGATGGATGCAAAATAATTTGACGAATAGTATTTATTATTGTATTATTTATGTTATTCTAGTCTTTGGTGGTAAATATTACATGTCAAAAAGACAAAGATTTAATCTCAGAGGTGCACTTATATTGTGGAGTTCATTGCTTTCATTGTTCTCTATTATTGGGCTGTCTAGAACATTACCAGAAATGATTCATATATTAACACATCACGGTTTCTATCATAGTGTTTGTATACCTAGGTAAGTATTATTATTATATATAAATATTATTTATATTTTTTTACTATTTTTAAAATATTTTTGATTGAATATGAATAAACTGCAGATTTTTATGCAACTAAAACAAAATCAGATATTCAACTAATATATGAAATATATATATATATTTATTTACCAAAATAAATATCATTATTTAAAAGTATCAATAATTTTATTAGATTTAATTATATTAAATTGTAATATTATATGATTTTTTAATAAATTAATTATTGTTTATTAATTTCTGAAAAAATTGATCTGAAAAAGAAATTGTTTAGACAAATATGTTTTCTCAATACATTTAAATACTCCCATTCTTATTTTTATAAATAAATTATTCAGAATTTTTCAATATTATATTATATTATATATCACAATTAAAAGTTTTATTCAGAATAAGTTTAATTTTTATTTTAATATTCAATCTTGTTTATAATATTCAATTCATATAAATAAATTTATTTATATAAATAAATCAAAGAAAAATATAACATATTCATTTATAAAAATTATTTATTGTAATATTATACATATATAAAATATACATAACATAAAAAAAATATATTTACATAAAAATCCACAATTTAATAATAAAATTTGAAAATTATTAATTAATTATTAATTAAGATCAAACTTCAAGGCGTTATGTAAAAACATTAAGAAAGAGTTTATTTAAGTTTTTCATATTTTTAATTCCAAAGTGATTTAAAAGCAAATATCGATAGAATATAATAGAGTAATTATATTTGCTATTATAAATGAAAAATATGCATTTTTAACATTTTTAATTGAATAATATTAAACATAGACAGAAACCATCTACGATTTTTGCACGATATATATTCTTAGTCTATATATCATCTTCCGCTCGTTGTAAAATATATTGATACTTACTTTTTCCATCTATTTTCTGTCAGTATGTCAGGAATTGCTATGCAAGTTAAAATATAATAATAAATAATTTCTAAAAAAATTTTTAAATAAGAAAAATATAATTTTTTTTCCTATAAATAAATATAAATTTTTCATATAAATTTCCTATAAATGGTGAAAGAAAGAATTCGAAAAATTCTTTTTTTCTTTAATCTTTCTCTACAGTTAAACATTAGTTTTATAGATAAACTAATTGAAGGAAAATTATAATCTTAAAAAATTAAAATTTAGTTAGTTTGTCAATTAATCATCACAGAATTAAAAATAATTAAAAGTAAATCAATCGAGAAAATTTAATAAATGATCCAATAAAAAATTAATAAAAAGTCAAGTAGTCATTATTGAAACTTATGATATAAATAATCAAATAGTTCCAAAATAATATACGATTCTTCGAATATCAATTATTAATTTAAGATTTCATATAATAACGATTATAACGAAGAAAGTACCAATATTTTAAAATTAAGTGTTAATATTGTAAAATTAAATGTTTATATTAAAAATAAAGAATAATTTTTGAACACTTGCTCATAAATATTTTAACATAATAATATTCATTTACCAATTTATTCTTTAAGTTATTAATATTAATATTAAATAATAATCTTTTAAATCAATATAAAATAATTGTTTTTTGAATATTGTGCTATTTATATATCATATTTGAAAAAATATTATAATATTATTATTATTATTATTTATATAATATTATTATTATATTTATTATATTTATAATAATGAAAGGAAAAATAAAAACATAATTATTTTTTGCAGCTTTATTGAACAGGATGTGGTATCTGGTTTTTGGTCATGGATGTTTGCTCTATCAAAACTTCTGGAATTTGGAGACACAATCTTTATAGTGTTACGAAAGCAGGAATTAATTTTCTTGCATTGGTATCATCACATAACAGTTCTTGTTTACGCGTGGTTCTCATATGCAAACAATATTGCATCCGCGAGATGGTTTATGGTGTTAAATTATTTTGTACATTCCATAATGTATAGTTATTATGCTCTGAAAGCAATGAGATACAAAACACCAGTATTCATTCCAATGTTAATTACCATTTTACAGATAACTCAAATGATTTTAGGTTGCATCATAAGTATTGTGAGTTATCATTATTTGGAAAGCCACAAAGAATGTAAAAATTTGCGTATACATATGATTTTTAGTATACTTATGTATCTTAGTTATTTCATTCTTTTTTGCAAATTCTTTTACAAATCTTATATTGACAAAAATGGTAAATTCCAAAAGAAAATTACTATAAACGGAACAATGGATCATAAAAAGTTTAAAGCTAACTGAAACACATCAAAATTTTTTCAAAAAACTCATTCCAATTATATTTTCTTTTAAGAATCTTTTTTAAAATCATGAAATTATTCTGAAGAAATAACTTAAAAAAATTTATTCCAAAATCGTTATTAATTGATATGATAAAAAAATTAAATCATAAAACTGTGAAATGAAATTGCAAAATAGAATAAAAATTGCTTAACTTTTGCAATATTGAATTACTTTAATAGTATAATATTTATATGATATAAATTTTATGATTAATGTTATTATATAATGTTATATTAAAATGATTAAATGTTATTTTTATTATTGTTATTATTATTAGTTTATTATTGAAGTTATAATATTTAATAGTAATAAACATATTAACAATATAATTTATTTCATTTATTTATTTATTTAAATAATTATTAGTATATAAGTTTTATTTGAAAAATAGTTATCAATTTGATAAGATATTTTTTTTGTTGCATCTGCACTATTATTTATATAGTTCGTAAACAATTTTCAAAATTGTGTACGAACTATGAATTTGTCAATAAAATAAATGTTTCAATAATGAATACAATAAATAATAAACAGTGCGAATAATACATATTTCATGTTCAATATATGCAAATGTGAATAAAAACAACAGAAATAAATTTTTATTCAAATAAGTAATTATTCAAATAAAATTCCATAATATTATTTTATATATGATATATAATACATTATATCATATCATATAAAATATAATATAAAATATATTATATAATATTATAGAATAAAAATTTTTTTTAAATATTCTAAACATTTTATAATTCTATTTTATAATAATTTTATAATAATTTTTAATAATTATAATACATGTATATGTACAATATAAATTATTTTAATATTTACATACTATTTCATTTATTTTTTATTGTTTTGTATTTAGATATTTATTATTTCATTTTAATGAAAAAATATGAAATAATACAATAATTATTATTGTAATTTTAATCATTATATATTATTATAACAATTTTTTTTTATTGCGTGAATTTTCTATTTTCTTTTTCTCTTTTTCTTTATTATCTTAAATGTCTAATTTATTGTAATCCAATACATTTTTAAAGATTCATTTTCTAAATATTTATCTGCAGAAAATCACATCAAAAACATTTTACACTTTTTATTTGAAATAAAGAAGCAACAAAAAAAAAAACAAATTATTACTTCAAATTAACTTACATAAAAATCTATATGTATAGCTAAATTTTAAAACTTATTTAAAAAATAAGTAATATGTATTCATTTCCAAATTTTAATTTTTCAAGCCTTCTTTTTATTTTTCCAAATTAATTTAATAAATTCTTGAATACCCTAATACCTGTTATAAGCCACATGCTATTAAATAAATAGAATAAATATAATAGAAATAATAAAATTCGTAGTTTAAAATAAAATTTTTATACTTTCAATCGATTTTAAAAAAATTGTAATATGTTATATTACTATAATTGCAAAATATAATTCTAAATTGAAAAATTCTAATCTATTGAATGTTTCAAAATAATTATAAAAATGAAATTACATGAGACAACAAATAAATAATAATAATAATAATTGCAATAAATTGTAATTAAAAAAATTATTAAAAAAATAAAAAATAATTGTAATAGTTTTTATTTAATTTATAAATATATAAATATATAAAAAAAGAAATATTAAATATTATATATAATATATTATATAATCTAAAATATATATATATTATATATTATATATTATATATTATTATATATTATTTTAGATTATATAATATATTATAATATATTACATATACTATATATTAAAAAATATAAAGTTAATTTTTTTTATTTTTTTACTATGATATTTTTCTTAAGATATCATTATTAATGGATAAAAGTTTGCAATTGTACAATTTTAATTTTAAAAATTCTATAGTAGAATCTTTCATAGAATCTTTTTATATCTTTAATAAAATCTCTTTAAGTAACCTTTCATTTCGAAATGAAAAAAAAAATAATGGTATATAAATTAAAAATAAAATTTTAAGAATATTTTGACGAATTTTAATGTCTCCAATTTTTATAAGAATATATAAAAATATCACATCATCATTGAAAATTTAGTATCTAAAAAGAATAAAATATCTATAAATTTTTAGCAATAGAACAATAATCAAATTTTTAATACTAAGAATTATCGAACTAATAAAAAAACTAAAAAAATATAAAATTTTTAATAACAAAATTGTTATAATACATAAACGATATAATCTTATTTATTATTTATTTATTATATTTATAGATGTGGAAATATTTTTTTTATATTGGATTTAAAAGAAATAATCAATCAAAGTTTTATTTTCTTTGCATATCAATTTTATATTTTCTAATTTTCCCTTATGTACTAAGATATAATATTAATATAATATAATATAATATTATGTATTAAGATATAATAATTTAGAAATTTCTAAATATATTTAGAAATGCAAATTAAAATAATATTTTTAACGTTTGATATTTAAAAATCAATTAAACAAAAAAAAAATAATAAATATTATACTTTTGTTAATCATTCAAATATTACTTTTGTTGATATAATATAATCAATAAAATATAATAATGAAAAACAATATAATAAAATGTAATATATGAACATAATAAAATGTATATATTTTTTTTCTTTTTTTTCATTCTTTAAAAGATATTTTATTATATTATGAAGATATTCTATATAGATCTTGTATATACATACATTTATGTACATATATTATATTTAATTAAATCATTATTATTTATTCTTCTTATTGAACATTTTTGAACATTTTTTTTATATCTTTTATTTGTTATAAAATATTAAAATCCGTGTGTCCAGATAAAATAAACAGTTTGTACATTGATTATATTATATATTCCTTAGTTAGACAATATACAATATTTATCTAATATAAATTTAAATTACTTAAACATAAACTTTAACTGATATATTTATATATAAATTTCTTTCTCTTTGTTTTGAATATAATTGTCCTCCAAAAGTATCTTGTAAAAAAACTATACATATATTCTATACACGTATATGAATATATTGTAAGATAAAAAATAAATATAGGATAAATTTTAATGTTAAATCTAAATTATTTTACACACACAAATTAAATAAATCATTTTGAATTTATAATATTTAAACACAGCATAATATTTTATAATATTAAGTTTTCTATTATTTAATATTAAGTTTTCATTAGCACATAAAAATTATTTATTATCATATTATTTTAATATAATAAATAATGTTCAAATTCGATTGTTTTATTTAAAAAATTTTTTATTATTTATTTCTATGTGGTTTTTTTTGTTGAGATATAAACAAAATTTTAAGATATTAGTCAATTACTATTATTATATAATATGATCATTTTATAAAATCAAATTATTTTAAGATTTTAATATGCTCTTTCAGTCAAATGAAATGGTAAGAATTTTGAAATTAATATTTATTATTATAATGTAGAAAAAACTTGATGCTATTATGTTACTATGTACAATTAACATAATGTTTGATGGATATTCAATGTGTATATATGTGTATATGGCATTATTATATTTAAAATTTTAATATAAAAAATATGTATATATATGTATACATATCTGTATTAATTAATAATATAATTGTTTAATACTATATTAGATTGAAAATTTAAGGTATATAAGAAAGTTCATATTTTAAACTTTGTTAAAAACTTTTTATCTTCTGAATTTTCAAAAGAAATTCTTAATAAGATTTATTTTTGTTTTTCCTTCCAGATTAATTGATATCAAAAATAGTAAAGCATTTGTTTCTTAATTTTTAAACTAATAGATAGCAAAAAAGTATATCAAAATGAAGAATCTATTTTATATTGAAATAATTACCTAATTATTCATTTGTTTTTAACTTCGAGAAAAATTTGGTTCATATGGAAAACAGAACATGAATGCAAAATAATTTGATAAATAATTATTATTATATTATTTACGTTATCATAATCTTTAATAAGAAGTATTACATGTAAAAGAGACTTATACTATGGAATTCATTGTTTTTACTGTTTTCCATTATTGGACTATTTAGAACATTATGAACTATTAGACTATTGGACTATTAGAACAGAAATGATTCATATATTAACGTATCACAATTTTTATCAATATTTGTATACCTAGGTAAATAGGTTATTTATATTTTTTTATTATTTTTAAAATATTTTTGATTGAATATGAATAGATTTTTTTATACAGCTAAAACAAAATCATTAATATGTAAAATATACATATATGAATATCAATATATCATCAATATATGTATCAATATATATATAATATATATATATATA